AAGGGGGTGGATCGTGAATGATGTGGGACGGTTTTGCTTGTCCCCGTTGGTCTCATGCAATGCATACATTAAATATATTAGGCTTTCTAAATGAAGCCAATAAAAAAATCTCTTTCCAACACTTAGTGAACAAGTATACTAAAAGCAATTAAGAAAATAAATATTTTTGAGTTATTTTTAAGAGAAAAGAAATATGTGGATAATTAAATTAAAAAATAAAATAAACTAATAAACTTAAACTAATTCTAAATAAACTAAATGATTAGTTAACTAAAAAATAAAATGACTAAAAACAAATAAAAAGTTGAGTATTAAAGTGCTAAAAAAATAAAAAGAATGCACTGATCATAACGAAATAAATATATTGGAAAAATACAGCGTTTGATCAATTTTTAAAATAAATTTTTTCCGATTAAAAGGCTCAGACTGATCAAAATGCGACCTAAAAGAAGTCAAAAAATTAAAACGAGCACATCAGGTTAAACTATGTGAAACGTAGATAAATTTAACTGACGTCTGCAAGCTCGATTTTGAAACTTTTCGTCCACTGATTTTACACACAACTGACATTCAGTTTGACCAATTTGACTATAAATCCGACATGTTTATTCTGACTGATAATTTGGGCATTATGCGTGATGAAAGACCTGATATGCTATGCAGATGATACAAAATAAAAATACAAGTCAAATGAATGCAAGTTTTAAAATGTCTGGTCAAAATTTGGGGCATGACAACTGCCCCTATTTAATCTTCTTGGACCTGAAGGTATGAATAGCAACGAATTTCATACATTTAAGGTAGAATAGGATTAAATAATATAATACCCATAATTTTGACCGATTAGAAAAAGGATAGATGTAGTGATATGCTTGAGATGCAAATAAATGGTATGCTTGAGATGAAAGGTATTATGTAGTAGGAACATGGTAGTTATGATGATATGATATGATATACTTGATATGCAATGTTACAAATGCATGAAATACTCTTCTTTTTTTGTTTTTTGTTGAAAAGGTTTGGGTATAGTTAAACAATGGTAACCGGTGAAGGGGTAATGGTACCAATGTTATGGCCAACGAAAGGTAAGATACACGGAGAGGTAAGATTAAATAATCCACAACTCAAGAAAAAAGAAAACGGGAAGTAGGATCAACGGATCCACGAGTCAAGAAAAATGTAAACAAGAAGTAGGATCAACGGATCTACGACATAAAAACAGAAGATAAGATTAACAAATCTATGAATAAAAAGTAGGATCAACGGGCCTACAACCCAAAGGATGATGAAATAATATAAACGGATCTATGAATAAGAAATAAGATCAACTGATCTACAACCCAGGCAATAGGATCAACAAATCCACGACCCAAAAGATGGAGAGAAGTAAGATCAACGAATTTATGACTCAGAAGATAAGATTAACGAATCTATGAATAGAAAGTAAGATCAACGAATCTACAACTCAGGAAATAGGATCGACGGATCCACGACCCAAAAGATGGAGAGAAGTAAGATCAACGAATTTACGACTCAGGAGATAAGATCAACAGATATATGAATACGAAATAGGATCAACGAATCTACAACCCAAAGGATGAATAGAAGTAATATCAATGAATTTATGACTCAGAAGATAAGATCAAAGAATCTATGATTGTGAAGTAGGATCAACGGATCTACGACCCAAAGGATGAAGAGAAGTAATATCAACGGATTTACAACTCAGGATATAAGATCAACGAATCTATGAATAGGAAGTATGATCAACGGATCTACGACCTAAGGGATGATAAATATGAGATGAATTACTAGGGAATAATAGTTAAACAAAGGGTAAGATCAACGTATAATCTACGACCCTGAGAAAAAAAGATGTAAGATATCAAGTGAGATCTACTGGAAACTGTGGTGGTAAACCTTTCAAAGGTCCATCTATTAGGGATTGATTAAAATGCCTTCTGGGGAATGGGCTTGGCATTGCCGGGTATTGAAAAGTGATTAACACAGGTGAGTATTGAAATTCAATATAGACGAGTATGTAAGATTAACATAAGCGACTGTTGAGGATTAGTACGAATGAGAAGGTACTGTCAACATGAACGAGTGTTGAAATCAATACCGACGAGTATTAAAAAGATATGGTTAACACGGACGAGTGTTTGAGATTAACAAGGACGAGTACTGGAAACCAATAGGACGAGTATCGGGAAAATATATTAACACAGAAGAGTGTTTGTGATCAACACGGACGAGTGTTGGAAAAAGGTGGATTTGACGAAGGACGCCAACTGAACGTGGGTTTAGAAATAAAAGGTACCAATCGAAGGTGGATTTAAAAAGAAGAATGTCATCCGAAAGTGGGCTTAGAAAGGACGTCGGCTGAAGGTGGACTTACAACCGAAGTACCAGCTGAATGTGGATTTAGAAAGGATGTCAGACGAAGGTGGAATTTTAAGGAATGTCAATCAAAGGTGGACTTACAACAGAGGTATCATCCGAAGGTGGATTTAAAAAAGGTGTCAAACGAAGGTGAACTTTAAAATAATGTCAGTCAGAGGTGGACTTACAACAGAGGTATCATCCGAAGGTGGATTTAAAAAAGGTGTCAAACGAAGGTGAACTTTAAAAGAATGTCAGTCAGAGGTGGACTTACAACAGAGGTAACAGTCGAAGGTGGATTCAAAAAAGGTTACCATTTGAAGGTGGATTTAACAAAGGAAGGGATATTTTATGAAGGTTATAGTCTTCTGAGGACATATCAATGAATCGTGCTTTCGAGAAAGGCTTGAATTAGTTTATGCTTCATGCATCTTTGAATTTTTCTATGGCGTAATGCTCCACACCAAATAGAAATGCTACGCGTTTTAGTATATGCAATGTAATGATGATTATATATATGTTGATGTAGACTCGTGTTGCTAAGGATATGAGGATATGTGATTCATTGGTTATGATTCTGCCAAGTATGGTTGGACTTTAAAAGTAGTGGTGAAGATTTGTTTTTTTTATGTGCCAAGTATGCTTGTGCTTTGGTTAGGCGTAGGACCAAGTTGGACCTGATGGTGATTTAGGGGTTTTATTCTTTGTTGCCAATGAAAGTGGGAAAATTTTCACCCAAATACTCCACTTTTTAAAAAAATCTCAAAATAACTCACTTTTCAATTTATTTTCCAAAGTACTCCACTTTGGGGGGTGATAGAGTGTTGGCGTCAACTTAATTGACGACTGCTTATTGGAGTTAAGAGGTGTCGCCAATTAGATTGGAGACAAAATATGGTGTTGCCAATTCAATTGACGGGTTAAAAATACAATGGTCTTGCAAATTCATTTAGAGACAAAGTGCATTGTGTAATTTTTTTAACATTAATAATTAATTAAAAATAATATAATATAAATTAATGTTGGAGACCGGATTGGTCATACCAGCCACCGGTTTCACGTCCCTTAGTCGCCCTAACTCGTTGCACTAGTCTCCCACGTTGATTCACTCCACGTGTTTGAGGAGCTGAAGTCTCAGAAACATTCTCAAACGATTCCCTAAGAATTTCTTACATTTCCAATAGGTCTTGTGTGTTGAAATTGAGCGTGCAACCAATGGCAGAGTAGTTCAGATGTGATGAAGGGGTCATTGGTGTGCAGTCTGAACGATTGAAGCGGAACATTGGTGTGAAGACTTCATTGGTAAAAAATTGAAATGATATTGGTGTTTGAAAGTCATAAGATTATTGTGATGTTTGTGTGTAAACTAGGGTATGATGTCGGAGTGTTTTGACTATATCTTAATGTTATTGAATTTCGTGACAATAGCCATTTTGTTGGAAGCCAAATTATATTTCATTTGCACAAGATTTCTCCATTGATATGCCAAATTTGCACAAGATTTCTCCATTGATATGCCAAATCAATGCCAAATTATGTCCAGGCTAATATCCATTTATACGATGTACCTAATTACATAATACAGCTTTATTGGGTAGATTGGTCGGTTACCATTCTAAACGTATCATAGCACTGTCAAAATCATCTGCACAAGATAGATAAAAAAATCCTCCAAAACTTTAATGAAATTACAATCCACTACATTAAATTAAAAAAAAAAATTTGACGAAAAACAAATTTAAAATTTTCAAGCAATATGCAGATGCTTTTCCTTCTTTTAACAATTATTAAATAGCACAATTCAATATTTACAAAGATTTAATTAATTAGATAACTATAGCAAGAGTTTCTATTTTTTTTTGGGTACAAATATAGCAATTGTTTCTTATAGAATAAGTTAATCCGATTTGGATAATTATCACTTTTATCAAATTAGTCAACAAAGTGTGACATTAACAAAACGAAGATTTACTAACACAAAGCAAGATTTTGTTTATTTTTTAGTGAAAGAAATAGGATAAAGATTGAGTGGCAAGCTGAAACTTTCAGAGCCTAACAAAACAAACAAGTTTGAAACTCCCACCAAACAAGAATCAAGTTGATTTCTTTCCCCCACAATATTTTATAAAGAATGAAGATTAACTTTTACAACCTGCAGTAACAAATAAATCACCCTTGGAAACCTTTGTATAACCTGAAATTGATGCCTTCATCAATATTCTCGACCCAAAAATTATGACACAGGATTTAAAAAACAAAACTTTTTATACCATCCCTCTTCAAAAAATACCAATAAAGCAAATGGCGACCCTAATACCCACCCGTCTATGTGACAGGCAATAAATATTACAGAACCGTATCATCGAAACAAAATAGGCTGGTACATGGAGAGACTAAGAGGACACTTTCTTCCAAAGGATATTCCCAAGCTTTGAATCAAAAGCTGAACGAGAAAGTGCCAATAGATAACTTCAAAACTGCAAACTCTTCAAAAACTGACTCGTGATCAAAGCCAACAAACGCCTCAAATAAATTGGCAACCCGCTGAGACTCCTAAAGAATGGCTAACAGCTGAGTACTTTAGAAAAAAGCAACAGTATTAATGTATACCCAGAAGCTTAAGAAGGTGGTGTGGCAGCTGATGCCTTCTCTAGTTTTTCCTTTTCAATTTCTACCCTTCTCTGCTCAGCATGCTGGGCAACACCATTAGCAAGAGCTTGATAGTTGAACTCAAGTGATTGGGTGAGACTCTCAAACCTCAATGGGTCTGATAATTGTACAACTACAAAGAATTTTATTTTGAAAAGGTCAGCAAGTCAAACAATGTTGATTGGCAATGATGAACCTAAAGAATGGTTTGCGTACCTTTCATCGTATCCACAAAGAAAATAAAAGGATCCACCTCATCAATTGGGGACTGCAACTCCTCATCGTCACTGTAATCGTCATCTGAATCATCGTCGTCGTCATCAGCAGGCCGGAATGACTTTGCCTGTGAGTAACAGATGCAGGATGTGAAAAGATTCTAATAATGAAGAACAATAAATGATATACAAAGACCAAATATATAATAAATAATGAATGAAGAATGAATAAGATGCAATGAAGTACAGACTACAATTAAATAAAGATCTAAGAAAGTTCTGAAATTATTATTGTGCCAACTGGGTGTCACAAGGGACTTTTAGGGAATTAAAAAAATAACAAGAGATAATAATTAAAAGGCCCAATAACAAAGCACCTGTTCAGCCAACTTTCTAAGTGTGATATTATCAGCTTCATCCCCATCTTCACCATCAACACCCATTTCTTTATCAAAACCACTGCCATCCTCGTCTTCGTCATCAGTTTGAAAGCCATCCATATCATCATCATCTTCAGCTTCTTCCTCCTTTGCAGATTCTGCATAGTGAGTTCAACAGACCGAAAACTAAGTACTCACACCAACAAAAACAAATCTACTTTTCATTACTATTGTGACACACTGACATATCAAAGTTACAGAACAAGACAGATACCTGCAATTTGATCCTTGTAAGCAATTAGAAGATCAAGTGTGGCCCGAAATACACGGCCCAGAGCCTCCCCGGGCAATTGATCAGCTGGAAGTGCCAGCAATGAAATTAAACCAAGGCAGCACACTTTCTTCTCGTGTTCCCTGTATAAAGATAGTTATAGTTTACCACCATAAGGCCTCTAAATTTCACAGAAAATAACTTAAATAGTTGACTTATGGAAGCACGGTATGGAAATACCAGGTGACACAGGAGTGGTATATGGGTAAAAAAGAGCATACCTTTTGAAATTAGCACGCAAACCACTCTTTTTGACTTGTCCCAACAAATGAAACCAAAGGTGGAAGAATTCAGAGGCGACACCCAACTTTTGCAATATGCTGAGAGTCAGTGCTGCATTGTAGTAAAGAGCATCTGCAATCTGAAAAAATAACTCTTCTTAGAAAAAGTATTGCTGTGATGTCACTTTCCTGAGTAATATCTCTGAGAAACTTGGCAAACTAACAACCTCGAATTTATAAAGCTCAATGGGGTCAAGCATACAAAGCCTCGGATTTATTTAAATTGTATAGTTTACATAGAAACTATAGCAGACAAGGAAGTGCAATCCATATAAAGTTATAATGGACAACATTACGTGTTTCGGGTTTGTATCAGAACTACAACAACAAAGGTAGAACTGACTACATAATAGATCAAAGAAGGATACAATGTCACATTTGCATAGAAAACCATCATACAAATGTTAAACCCATCGACTTTTGATAAATTTAAAATCAGAATATATCTTGCAAGTCCAAAACAATAAATAATATTTGAAGCATCAGGTTAATAAAACTACGGAACACAATGATTTTCATTAAACAGTGAAAATGAACAGAAACATCCGAAGTATTTATCATGTCAAAACATCACAATCAGGAAGCAACAAAAGCAATTTCCAGATAATTCCATTCATGTATTATTGATTGTAAGAGCCCCTTACCAATTGCATGAAAAGACATTTCAAATATGACTTTTGAGTCCGGTTCAAGCGTTCAACTGTAATTCTGAGATATGGCTCCACCCAGTGATCCACCTGTCCTCTACAATTCTGGAAGACAACTTCGATAAGCTTTGGAGCTGGCACAATATCGTTATCCTCCATATTTTTATCCGCCATAATCTTCAACATGATATACAAATAAATATCAGTAACCGGGAAAAGTTATTATTGTTACTATTAGCAATACTAAACTCCGTGTTCAACCAAACAGGTGGTGACAAGTAACTAAAACTAACTCACAGATGAAACCATGTTCCATAGACTTTGTTGATAGTCAGGATCTTTGCAAGTAAGGAAATGAGCAGTTCCTCTTGAAATATAGTTGTCCAAAGGAACTAAAATATCTGCAGAAGTTTAAAACTTAACAAATAAATATAAACCAAAGTAAAATTGTATAGGATGGAAAATCCAAGTAAACATAAATATAAATTAAAATGTTGGGATGTTATGTATGGACTCTATGTTTGTGATGCACTTCTTTTACAAGTCTTCTCCATACATGCCCAAACATTTTATATAATCCCCAAGTGTCTCCTCCAATTCGGTGAAAAGAGACAGAAATCATTAAGCAACTGAATTTTTTTTTTCACTTCTCTGTCCCATACTGTAGAGAAGTGCACTTCAGTTTATTTTGTCATTAGAGAAGTGACAAAATTGGAGAAGTACCCAGGCTAGGCATACTTCAGTTTATTTACTAGAAGCCTTGGAACAGAAAATATACCATATACCATTCCATGTTACTTTTTAGCTTGTAACTTTTTTTAATGATGTTTCTAAGATGCTTAAAATTTTGATCATCTTCAGGTTGAATCTGAAATCAACTCTTCTCTACTTCAATTCATTATCAATAAATCAACAGGACAACAATAAATCATCTGAAATAGGCATTTACTGTGAAAAGAGCAAAAAAATAAATAATATGTAGCTAAGAACCATACTTGGGAAAAAATCAATTGCCCAATCTGCCAGTGCTTCCATCATCACTGGCCAAAGAGTCCACATCTCCAAAGATATTGATGGAGAGAAAAACGTCATATATGACACAATCTCCAAAACTTCTTCGAAAACCTCTGTAAGCATGCACAAAAATAATGAAAATAAGCCAGATACTCCAAGTGAAAACAAAATTTACAAATCAGAATCTTGATACGAAGGGGTAAAATATGGCAGCCTCAAATTTAAACAGTTAAAGTGATTCAAAGGGAGAAATATAAATTTTATTGAAGAAAATTTTGTTTAGACAGAAAAAAAAATATACAAGGAAAATGGGGGATATGTATCCTGCATAACAAAAAAGTAGCAAGGGAAGTACCTTGACCATCTGTTGTTAACATTCTTTGCATTATAGGAAGCAAAGTTGGCTCAACTTGCACAAAAAGATGAGGAAGCCTGCTCACTGATTCAAGGATTGTGCTAATAGCACGCAAGCAACCAACTGCGGCCAGAGCGCCTGGATCATCAGCTTCATCATCAGCTTCTGCAGAGTTCATACACCTCCAAAATGCAGCAGCCTGTCGTTGAAAATTGGAAAACAAAAAGTTAATCTACAGAACAGTACTCAATATCAAGTATAACTTCATTGACAAATAGAAGGGGACAAAATTACTACCAAATTTTGACATAGTCCTAGTGCATAAGGTGCCATCTCTTCTCCAAACTTGTCCACAATAGTCTCCAAAGTAAATACAAGGTCTTCATTCTCAACCTCATTCATAAGTTTGAAAAACTCTAGATAAAATCCAATTTGAATAAATTTAGTCAGCAAGTCAAAAATAATAATACTGAGGCGAAGATAAAACTTTCATGCCCACATACCATCAAGAAGTTGAGGAAGAATGGGACGGATTTCATTCAGATCTGCATCATTGAGGAATACAAAATTAAGTATAAATTTTAACTGCGTAGAAAAGAAGGTAGTCGATACAATAACAAATCAAAACAAAGAGTAAATACCTTTGCATGCTTCAATGAAAGAGCGCAAGGCAAAAACAGAATCAACGCGCACAGGAAGTTCAGAATCTTGCATTCTGGATACAACACACTGCAATGCCTTCCGGAAATTGTTCTGATCTGAGAAGCTAATATGGGCATACTGACCTGCAACCCATGCTGCCTGTATTTCAAATGAGAATCAAAGTTATCGTACATATATAAGAATAAAGAAAACACAATACAATTAGATAGTGTTAGTATCTTTTCAATTTAAGAATCAATCAACAATTCAAAAGTGAATGGACATTGCAGAGCAATAGAAAACTTGGGCGCTTCGAATTAATTAATCTCTAATAGTTTTTGCAAATCTTTTAGATCAAGGATGTTGGATCAGATATGCAAATCAAATTTGCAGTAAATTTAGGTGTTGCCATAAACTTTTCCTGTTTTGGTATTTTAAAAACATCATTTAGGATTTTCTTTTTTATATACCTTAGCTCTAAGGTGGCCAACAGGACTGTTGAACTCAGGAAAGACATGTTGCACTAGCATGCGCTCAAGTTCAGATTTGTAAGGCTCGGTCTGCTTCAATTTGTCACAAAGTGCCCCAATAGCAAGAAGTGCACCATCTTTTTGCCTGTATGGCTTGAATTCTATAGAGGCTTCATCATACCTGGCATAGCACAAAACCTAAATATTCGACCAAAGTATAGACAATTCATTCTACATTAAGCAAGATATTATTACCTTCTGAAAATTTCAACTATGAATTGAATAAACTTGTGAAGATTTTCTTTTCCACGTTTCCGAACCAACTCGCTCACAAAATCCATGGAAGCAGTCCTAGGACTATACAAATCTTCAATTATGTCTGTGACAAAGAATGTAAGACAATAAGCAATCACAGTGCAATTTGTGGAAAAATGTTTGTGTGTATACACTGACAGGACTTACCATAGCCTTTCCTTACATATTCATGTGGATCTTCTTCCCAAAGCTTTTGATCATTGTCACTAAAGCACATAAGGGGGAATACTATTTCAAATAGTAGGACATCAAGGCGAGGTTGCAGCAAAGCATACATGCTGTTTCTTGAAATACTGCATATATTATGGAGTTCAGGGAAAAAGTATTAATATGTTGCAACTCAGCAGCAGAAAATAAAGCATTCAACATAACAACTAGTATTCTAAATTGAAAACACCCTTGCTCTCCAGAATACAATAACTTGTCACAGGGTCTGATTGGAAATTTAGATATGAAATATATATTTTCATGATAACTACAGCAAAAATGCACCAACATCAAGTAGGGGTTTCATGGGATTTTCATTTTCCCAGTATCAGTGTAGCAGCATAGCTTCAATTTGATAAATATCCTATTTTGATATCAACACTAATTAGCATCCATCCATATGCATAGCCGAGCAAATAAAAATAGATAACCAAATCCCTCTACTTTGTATTATGCAATCTTTCTCCCATGATAAGGCAATGACTTTGAATACTATAAAGTAAACCAAATATAGTTGGTTGTAGTGCCTTACATGGCTTTTCAATGCTGAATCAATATATTAAGTATTATGAATGAGACATCAGGGGGAAAATTTAAAAAGATCCTGTAAAATCCTGTAAGTCTTACTATCCTAGAAAACTATTAAAACTGTCATGTATCTCCTGTGGGAAACTAAAATTAAGAGTGCTAAGACTTTCCATTACATCTAAGCATTTATAAACCATCCCAATGAGCTCAACACACTCAAAATCAGCTACTTAAATATGTATAATCCTACAACAATTAGAACAGCAAACATGTAGCTAAGACTTGCCATTACAACTAAGCATTTATAAACCACCCCAATGAGCTCAACACACTCAAAACTAGCTACTTAAATATGTATAATCCTACAACAATTAGAACAGAAAGCATGTAGTTAATGAAGGAACCTAAAGATGCTATTTAATGAAATAGAACAACAATGATAATTAATCAGTCTACCTGTTACTTAGATATTGAAGAATCAAGTTGATAACTCTGTCAGGTAAATAGCCCCCTACACGAATGATATTTAACAGGTTCAAGTGGCATTCCAAAATCTTCCCTGCATAGTGCTTCTGGAACATTTGAGCAAAAGCTCTGGTTTCAGGATTTTGTAGCTTCAGGTCTCCAAAACTGTAAGACATGGCAATTTAAACAGAAATAGAATTCAGAATCAATCAATCATACAACAGAAACACTCATTAAATTAATACACCACATCACAACCATACCGAGTGTAGAGCCTATTTAGAATATGAACTGTCCATTTCTTGACCTTCCACCAACCCCATGACTTTCTAAGATCAGGATCAACAGGCTCACCTTCAGAAGGCACAGGTCTCTCCAATACATTCAGAAAAAGTATCATCCAAGCATTGAAGATGTTTTGATCAAACAGCAGTTTTGGAATCTCCAACTGAATAAATTCATCAAGAAACCGACAATAGCACATGTTAATCATGTGAACTTCCAGTTAAGTGAAGCATCAAAATAATGAGGCAACAGACAATGGGACAATATTATGTTGACTGTAAAATAATATCTGAATAAACACATCAATCAAGATTCAAGACAAGGATATGCATATTTAAACTATGCCTTTCTTTTGCATCTCTAACAAAATAAATTGTTTCATATTTGACATGGAAGGGATCATTCACTGACATACAAACTACGCTCTGAATAACAAGTTACCAAAGATATAAACATCCCCGATAACCCTATTTGGAAATTTAGCCTTAATTGTGGTCCGCCCTTATCCACCTTAATTTGTGCCATTTGACTTGCCTTCATTGCAGTGTCCAGCAGCTTAATTGTGTTGGGTGTGAGTGGGTGGGTTAGGTCTCAGATTGCCTGAAGATATGGTTTATGTAATGCTTAAAAAGTTCGGGAAGTCCTCACCTTACAAGTCATTTGGTACAGATGAGTTACGATTCACCGGAGTCACATCACACTCCAGATGTCCAGTCTTGGGCATAAGGATATTGTGCTGTGATATTTCCTGAAATGTGTTTGAAAACTGGGGGTATCTCTCACCCTACAAGTCCATTTTGTGAGGTTGAGTTAAGCCCACCCAAATACAAAGACCCTCTGTTCTTTGTTTATTAAGGATTTAATAAGGGGAGAAAAGGAGCATCTACTCAACTTCAGTTCAAAAGGAACACGTTACAAATTAAATAATAGTAATCACAAATTCCACACAATGTCAATAAAAGCAACATGCAATTTTGAGCAAAGTTTAATCTACAATAAAACCCGAAAAATAAATTCTTCCATTTACACATGAGGAGAGACAACATACATATATGGAGGACCAGAATATTTTACAGATAAGCTTGATTAAATCTGCTACTTCCAGTGATGGATTAACAATCTGGATAAGCCTGTTAAATATATTAAGAAGGTGAGGAAATGTTTCATCGACAATGCGATAAACTGGTGTCCTCTCCTCATCTGATTTGAACCTGCAAAGATAAAATGGGATAGTTAACATAACTAACATAAATGAGAAAAATAATAAATTTAGACTACTAATAAGGATTCACAGGATATTTCAACAATAAAGTATGTAAAAGCTCTAGCAAAACAAAACATCAAAGATGTGGGAATAGGGTACCTTCCACCATTTTTAATCTCATTGTCGGTAATATTCACGTTTCAATAATAAAGTGGGCACAAACTCTTGCCAAACAAGACATCAAGATATCTTCTAACGCTTTGAATATTATTAGTTGCGATAACAATATAATCAATGACAAGGAGGTCTGGAATGAAGTTTGGACCTTCCTTCTGAAACTATGTCACCACTTGTCTCTCTGTTTCTTTACATACTACTTCTAGATTGGGAACATCATAAGTGGTCGTATCATAATTTTGAATTTCTCTCAAAATACAATTGAGCTTATCATTCAGAACATTCTCACAGTTTAAATATTTGCTAATTGCACTTCTTTTTCTACTGGAAAAGTAGGAGGACATATATAACAAAGTATACTTCAGTGACTTAAATAGTACAGCCATATCCATGAATAGTGTAACTATATTTGAACACAAATAAAATAACAACTGCAAGGTTTGATGTGGTTCGGAAAGGATAAGACTGTCAATAGCATTATTAGACAATACTAACATCTAGTAGAAAATATTACCAAAATGAAAATAGGTAAATAGTAGCTCCTGCGGACCTAATGTAGAGCAATTACTAATCACGAGACAAGAACAAGAGTAATAGCACAATTTTTTAAAATTAAACAAAATAGATAGAATTAGAAACTTACTCATATTTTCTAGACAGAATCCGTAGCACAAATAAGGCACCATAGACTTGCTGATCCTGTAGGTTATGCTTCACCCAATCAAGAAGATGAGGCCACTGTTCGGGGTAGTCAGCATGTATAATTGTTTTCAGGCATTCACCAAGCTGTACCCTACAAACACACCAACATGTGAGAAAGGAAAAATAAATCCGCCACAATTTTTACACTATCATGATTAATCACTAGGTAAACAGAGTCATAAACATCAAGACGTCAGAGAATCCGAGAAGCCGCTACCAAACACAACATACAGCCACAAATAAACAATCTTACCTCAACAAAGGAGGAACTTGAGTTACAAACATGAGAATGTGATCCCTCACCAAGTCTTTATCACTCTGCAATATCTTTTGTTGGGTATCTACATAAACCAATAGGAAACCGAACAATCAGCAATCGAAAGTAGTCGTTATTTCACTATCTAAACTCCACCAATAATAAAAGGCATACCAGAATCAGAATCAGGAGACCAGTTCTTTGCAATAAAGTTCTTGAAATGAATACTAGCATTTTGTCGTACACCCATGTCACAGTTGTTATCAACAATGATTTGCAACAACCTCACCAGATGCTGAGGCGCATACTGGAACTGAACATTTATATATGCATATCACAAATCAGTTACATTCATTCCATTAAAATCAAATTACAAATACATCCGATTCAATTAACACGAAAGTACCAAAATCCACTTTATACTAAAAGTAATGTTAACTTTTCAAAATCTCCGAGCTTCAATCACACACTTATGCTAAAGTGATACTACTAAACACTCAACAAAATCATAAACACGCAAACACCAAAATTCAAAAATCAAAACAATCAAATTAAAGCACTAACACATTCAATTAGAACTCATAACACACCAAAATTCAAAAACAAACTAAAATCAACACGTTAACAAGTTCACGAATCCAGCTCAACACACAAAGCTATATCCAATCGAAATTCCAATCATCAATCGAATTCACACTCTCACCTGATTCAAGTTATGTTCAGCAGCTTTCCGTTCATCCGGATTAGGACTGAGAGCAGCTTGGAGTATAACAGCGAGACTAGGAAGATCCATAGCAGCAAAATCAAAACAAAACTCGATCAAAATCAAAAAGCTTCGATCAAAACGGAATACGAGAATTGACGATGCCTTGATGAATCTAAACCCTGGGAAGAAATTCTTCTAGGGTTTAGAACACCTGCGAGTGCAGAGATGAATCGAACAGAGAAATTGTTGCGATGAATTTGAGAAGAGGAATGTGAAGAAAGAGAAAGGGAACGAAGTGGAAATAGTTTGGAGGCTATTTAAACTTCTAGGGTTTACGCTTATAGGTTTTTAACCATTTTTTCTACTACTCATATACTAGTACTTATTCTTTTTCTTTTTTTCATTTTTCACTACTACACACACAGTATAAAAATTTATCAATTTTCTTAAATTTTGTTAAATTGAATTATGGAATTGATTAAGATAAATCGATTTTGATTTAACTGTTAATATTATCTAATTTCTTTGGTTTTAATATTTTTTTGAATATAGAGATGATAGGAGTCTTTCTTTTAAACAAGTTTAGTTAGTTATTAGTGATTTAATTTTATTTTAGATATTTTTAAGAGTATATTTAAAAATTAATTATGATAATTAAAATATGAAATTTGATTTTAGACAATTGAGATTGAATGAATTATATTAACTTAAGCATTTCACATTAAAACAATGTAAATTACTATTTAGTGTGTTTGATGCATGTTTCGAATTCTAATACAATTATTTTTATTATACGGAATTATAAAATTAATTGGAATGATACTTTTAATTTAACGGTTAAGAGTATATAAATCTTTTTTTAATGTATTTAGTAAATTATTATTTGATATATTTCACTTTAAATATTTTTGAGATTGTATTTAAAAATTGATTATGATAATTAAAATATAAGATTTTATTTTAAACATTCGAGATTCAATGATTATGCTAACTTTAGCATTTTCAAATGGAGACAATGTAAATTCATCTTTAGTGTACGTTATGCATTTTTGAGTGCAAAGGTAGGTTATTTTGTGTGTTTTAGGTGGTACATTTGTTAGAATATAGTAGTATCTTTTAGCTTAATTTTAAATATTTGGCATGACAATTTTTTTTTTTTTGACAAATAGTGTAAATATTCGGAAAGAATCAATTATCAAGTATTATTAATAATAGTATTAATAATGGTCGTTTTAGCATTGTCTTAAATAGAATTTGAACTATATCACTTTATATTCAAGCCATGTTAATTGGTTGAAAATATTATGAAATTTATTTGGAAGAGATGGGACCCATAAGTAAACTAATAATGTAAATAAATGTTTAGAGTTCGAATTCAGCTTTTAAATAAAAATTTATATTATAATTTTTTTTATTTGAGAATTTAATCTTTTCAGTATCATACAGTGCAGAATACGTAATAATATTTATTAAAAAATTATTTTGAAATTTAATTAATTTGAAGAAGATAATTGTACACAATTGTAATTTTGGAAAGTGAATTGGTAATTTCAATGAGTTTGATTGATTTTTTTTGTTGTTTGTTTGGAGTGACATTGGGAGGGTTTGTTTTTCATGCTTTTGTACACTCACGGAGGAAGATGCTGCCTTCATAGGTTGGCTGCCAACTCCACCTAACACTGCATAATGCTGCTTGTATTTTTTTGTTTTTGTCATTTGTTATGTGTTTTTCTGTTGTTATTTTTTTGCAAAATGTTTTTTTTTATTATTTTTATTTAGTATTTTCCATTGCTCATAGTAAATTTAATATTTGATTGAAGTACGGTTTACAAAATGCACAGATGCTTACCGAATGCTTTAACATGAACACTGTTGATTTGGACGTATGATTTTTTTGTACAGTAATATATCTTACAAATCAATTGTATAAATGAGTTATGTCCCTCTAATTTTATGACAAATAATTTATAATTATGATTCATGAATCTCTTAAATATGGTAGTTTTAAGATTTTTGTTAACCAATTAATTTGTTTATTTGTTTATAATGATTAATTATTCTTTGGTCCTGAAAAGGTTCTCTTTAAAATACTTTTCTTTTTAACAAAATATACTATTTGTGTACGCGTGGTGATTATACAGAAAAACACGTGTTAACGTGATTAGTATATTATTTATTGTTTATATTATATTTATTTATATTTTTATCATTATTATGAAACTAAACTTGTGGTGGGTCATAATTAACGTAGAAAACAAGTTACTAATAGAGAAGAATTTTTTGGGCAAGTGACACGCATATTTATGGAGTGCCTTTTATCTTCTTCATATGAGAAATTAATTACTCTGTATCTAATGTCTATTTATTTAGTGGTTCATTGTTTTTTGTTATAAAAGTTAATATTGTAATTTTGATGTTCGAAACCTTCTCGGAAAAATGATAAATTACCTTCAAATCACCTTTGTTGATTGAAGTACTGTTTATGTCATTAAAGTCAAATTAGCCTTCTTGATGATTAGGTAAATAAATAGTACTTAATTATATTGATTTTGATTATTTGATGTAATGTCAAAAGTTGTGCATTTGCGATTGTTTTAAGGTGATCAAATGTAAAAGAAAAAAAAAAATATGCGGATCAATTTAGATAAAATAAACGGCTTAAGAATAAGTTATAGACATTAATCGAAAATTGTTTTAACATTTTTTCTTATAAAAGTACACTTTTCGTAAATTTTTATTTTTTAAATTTATTAAATAATTAATATATCTAAACTATATATTATTTAAAAATATCATTTATTCAATTAATTTAAAATTTTAAAATTTACTTATAAAAGATAATGGAGGGAGTATGACTCATAGTCACGTCGAGATACCATTCTCATTAAATATTTGCATATTTTCATCTATTTTAAACATTAACTTAGCCTCAGAGTGTTAAGCTTGTAAGTACCTCTCATCATTTCTGATCATCAGAGACAATTATCATTGCACTATAAGTCTTTTCATAGTTGTCACCTTCAACCTCTTCAGCGAGAGACTCTTCTACATTGAAGAGAATCAGCCGAAATTCTTTTTCACATCGCAACTTAGTTAGAGGTGCCACAACAAGTCAGACCATAGCAACTCTAAGGGCACTCCCATCGACGTCGCATCACAATCAAAAAGAGCATCAACATTGCTAGAACTATGTCACCATCACCACCATGGGTTATCCTCCTCGTGATTATGGATGCGATAATATTAGCCATACACCACCTAGAAAGTCTTCCTAGCACCGCCCTCTAATGGGAAACGGGCATGATACCCCCTATTACGCCTTCATCCATCACAGAAAAGAAAATGTTCACCGAGCATGTTACTAATTACATGGTCCCCAAGTCTCTTAAGAAGCCACCAATTTTTTGGGAGTTACGACTAGTCCGGAGACCCTAATGAGCACATTGAGTACTTGTGTACCATACTTAATTATCTCTATGAATGCAATAAAATGCAAGATGTTTATATTGACATTTAAGGGAGTGTGTATGTAATGGTTCAAGACTTTTGAGGATGAATCCATCGGTTCTTGAAGAAAATAGTGATGAGTTCGCATCGATTTATCGCACTAAGACATGGGTCAAAGAAATTGGATTTAAAAGTGTTAACCAAATGACTCCAAAAGAGGGGTGAATTTTTATATTAGGATTTACAAAAGATCAATTTAAAAATACTTTGATTTTAAAACATGTTTATGTTAAAAGATAGAAGATAGAAAAGAAAAAGCAGCATAATAAAATAAATAACTAAAAATGAAAGAGAATAAAGATAAAAAGATCACACCATAGAATTATTTTGGTTCGGCTTAAACCACCTGACCTACTTTAGTCCCTAAGAGTTCCCCTTGATGTTTTCACTAAAACAATCATAAACTTTTCACAATATCAACCCAAACAACCTTACAGCAACAACTAGAGCTTTTGCATATGATTGGCCCAAAAATACTTATAGAAACAACTATAGGTTTTATAAAGGTTCAACTCAATAACCTTGACTCAATTTTTTTTTCCAGATTTAGCTTACAACCTTCAAATTTAATATAAATATATCACAAGAGAACAATACTCTTTAATGGATACTTTTAGCAAAACACAAATACAACAACTCTCAAAAGAAACTTTTCACTTTCTCGACACTAAGAAAACTTCAGAAAAAGCAAATTTATAAAAGAAATAAAGAAATGATATATCAGATTCTATTTAGAAAACTGTTATATTTTGAAATGAGGATAAACCTCCTTTATATAGGAAAAAAGTGAATAAAAAAAGAAAACAATCCATTGGCCATTATAATAAGTTAATCAATTAAATTCATGATTTAATCGATTAACCAAGCTAAAATACGAAAATTTGAAATTCTATGTCACTTAATCAATTTATAGACATCATCAATATATTAGGAGTCGTTACACTTTAATTGTAATCTATTAGGATAACCGCTTAATATATAAGACAATGTATGATACCTTCCTAATTGATTAAACAAGTATTAAATCAGTTAAGCGCTTGTTTGAATTGGTTTTAAGAGATTTTAACAAAATAGACGATGTTTGCAAACACTTTTATGTGTGTATGCACAAGCGCGTGCGTGCGTGTGAGTGTGAGTGTGTGTGCGTGTGTGTGTGCGTGTGTGTGGGTGTGTGTGGGTGTGTGTGTGTGTGTGTGTGTGTGTGTGTGTGTGTGTGTGTGTGTGTGTGTGTGTGCGTGTGTGTGTGTGTGTATGCATTGCCTTAGTACTTTGAGAATTACTCTTGTTTCTTTTGCAATTAAACTGATCATAACTAGTGAAATTTTGTTCTCCCTCTAAAAAGATGTCAAACATTATGTGTCAGATAATGTGTATGACAAAAGTAACAGAGTAACAATTAAAATAAAGATAAGAAAATAGGACACAATGAATTGGTAACCTAGTTGGTGCAATATCACTTACATCTGAAGGGTGCTAACCCAAGAGAGGAAATCTTAATATGCATCATAGTGTGAAACGCTCTTGGTTCTTTTAACTTGTGTGTTATTATGCAGTATTTGAGGATGAAAGAGTAGGATTTG